TTGGTATTAATCCTTTGCATAATATAATACACTCAAATTGAAATCTATCTAGTTTCGTTGTCAAGGCAACATCTCTAGTACAAGACAATACTACAGACAAAAGAAAWTGTAAATAGCAAAATGAAATCTGAAGTTTATTCGTAACAAATGAGCTAGTGAAAATCTTAGTTTTCAAGTCTGTTCCGATCCCAGGTGTCTTAATTTGTCTTGGTATACGTTTCCTTTAGTTGTATCTTTATTCTTCATTTATGAAAAATCCTTGCGTTTTCTAAGAGTTGTCCTGAAAGAAGAAGAATAATAATAATAATAATCAATAATACAATAACTAACCCTTTTCTCATGACGTAACCATAAAATGAATTGAGGATACATTTATGAGCAAGTTGTAGTGAATCATATAGAACTTCTTTGGCTTTACAGCTAAAAAAAAAAAAGAAATATCAGAATACGAAGGGCTTGATGTTTTCAGTTTTTCTAAATTTTATAGTACTATAAACACAGGGTTCGTGCTAGGTTCCCAAGAAATTATTCAAGGAGTTTTCAAGGAGTATTCAAGGACCAAAATGACATTTTTCAAGGAGTAACTYTTAAGAGGGTTTTATTTCGGTATCCGTAAAAAATATGAAGAAAATGTCAATACTAATCGAGATGTGCAAATTTGTCACGTGATATCCACGACACATTGAGCTACTAAGTTCTGGAAAGCAAAAAATTATTAAAAAAAGACACTTCTCCCGAGACGTAATGAAAATCTCTAWTTTTAACCAATGACAACGACTCACGGTTTACACATCTTGAAAGTTTTACTGACATTTTTTCATGGACAATTTTTTTCAAGGAGTATTCAAGGACATTTCTACTTTTTTTCTATTTTCAAGGAGTTTCAAGTGCCCTTGAAAATGCATTTTAAATTCCAGCACTTTTTAAGGAGTTCAAGGACCTGCACGAACCCTGAAACAATAAATGGAAAAATGATTTAGTTAGCGGACTGAGTTGGGCATGCGCAGAACAACACCTTTTGATTTCTTCAGGATCGCCATTCTGGGTTGCTGTACCAAGCTTTCGTTTCCATACCTGAAGAAAGCAAGAAGCTACAGATGATTCAATCATTAAACACACAAACTTCATTTCAGTTTAAAACTTCCCAAGACTGATCAATGCTTTGAGGGGAGTCACGAATATATAGTCTGAGAAATTATTCTGATTCTTATCCGTTTTGACATATTTAACTGCACTATCTATGGTTTCGAACATGAGAATCGATGTGTAATAATATGTTAATTGCCTCGCATTAGCTTTCATCAGCAGGAATCCGTTTTTAAAAGCTCAAGGAGAAACCTCCCGCACTTTTGAAATAACATGCGTCCCACCACTTGACTTGATTTACTACGAATCCCAAACTGGAACACAAAAATTATCGCTACTTTGAACTACTTTTCCACATTTTACCTCAAACTACCCCATTGTTTTTCCCGTTTTTGAATTCCTTCTATTCGAGCTTAAAGTTTTAAAAAATCTTAGATTCCCATACCTTGAGAAGACCTTTAAACTCATATCTTCGGTCTCTGAATGCTCTGACAGTGTCAACATAAAAAGAGTTTTCACGCTGACAGATAGTAGTCTGTCGTTCCTCTAGTTTTGTGACACGGGTTCGGCCGTAAGCTTTGTGGCAGTAATCTATAACGTTTAAAGAAGAATATGTTAATAAATCCTATATTTAGCGAGGGTAGCACTAAATAGCAAAAACCATGCTAATAAACCTGTTCGTGTGGCCCTAAAGAGTATTTAAATCATTGAAATCAATAGTTTTCATCATTTCCTCCACATTACTACCATTATCATTGAAGTGCGACCCACTAAGTTTGTCTAGTTCGCCGACTACCATTGCAGCCAACGTCAATTACTTGAAAAAAAACCCGAAACAATAAGTAGAGGGAGATTCAAAACTTAATAGTCTGTCCAAAATCTCTATCAATGAGCCGAGATATTGTTTTTTTTAATTATTATTGCAGTTTTTTGATTGACGTATGTTGACGTATTGTTCGTCTGTTCGGCGAACGAGACATCAAACGTCGCGGGTCGCACTTCAACTAAATCCCACGTACCTCCTAGTCTTTTCTTTTCTAACTGTGCTTGTTCAGCAGGAGTAAGTGAATGGAATGTACGGTAGGGATCTCCTGGTTTCAAGCCAGGGATTTTTTCAACTTCCAGTTGTTGTTTTATTGTTTGGTATTCACTTCGTGAAGCAGGCACTGAAAACAAGATGAAAATTTCATCGAGACTATTAACGAAGGCTAGATATTACAGGAGCTTTTACAGGAGCTTACATCCTGTAATCCCGATCCTGTAGTTCGCTTATTTTGCGACAGTTTAATTGTGAGACTTTTTTGAATAAATCATGTATAAGTTACTCCCAAATATTGCCACTCCCTGAACAAAACCACGTTTTGACATTAAAAAATCAAGAAAAAAGGAACAGTTTCTTGGTTTTGAGTATATTGAATACTGATAATGAATACTGGTATTACTCAGCGCTGATCTGGATCAGGAGGTGATAATGCTTTGCTATCAGTAACATTATCTTTTATCCCTACTATTTAATGGACATTAACGAAGAAATAGAAAACGCGCGCGCGTGCTGTGTGCTGTCATAAAGCACGCGGGGGTTGGCAGAACACGAGAGAAGAGTTAGGAGAAGCACGACGCGTAGCGGAGTGCTTCTTGACAYTTCTCGAGTGATCTGCCAATCCTCAAGTGCTTTATCACTCCATACAGCACAGCAAGCAAGTTTTTTATTTCTTTTATAAAATACAATTTACATTAATAACGAAAATGAAAGTGCGCGCGCGTGCTGTGTGCTCTCATAAAGCACGCGCTTCCAACCAATCAGTACGCGAGATTTAGAGCAGATATTTTATAAATTCTTATAAATATTTTCTTAATAGTTAACGGCCTCTTAATTTTTGCGTCATTATATTTTCGCAACAGTACAATTCGAATTTTTAACAATCACAACATTAATGTTTGGTGAAATACGGTAAATTCATGTAATGAGGTATTCAAATCATCGAATTATATTACAAAGGACTGTCAAGCCTGGTCTACTCACTGACTTCTCCTCTCCAGGACCACATCATTTTTCTCTGACACCTGGCTCCAGGTTTGTTAAAATCACAGGCCGCACATGTTGCTTCATCAACCATGGCTGACGGCTAAAACAAAATCAAATTGAAAAAAATTATATCTTGACAAAAACTGCTGGACCTCCTTTAAAGTCTCCAGCCACCTACTCACTCATTTTTGAATCATGGATGCCGTCTCTAAAATATATAATCATCAATTCGATTATACATGTAAAAATACCTGTAATCTGTTAGTGAGGATAATGTTAGGGTACATAGCACCCACGTCAAGATGGTAGACCATGGGATTCTCAAGACGTGCTGGAGTGTCTCTGAGGGCTGCTAATTTTCCTTTGATATCATCACATGTCTAAGTGAAAATGTACAAGAGCTAGATAACAACAATTGCATAGCATGCCGATTGGTGATTCTACTAATAAAACTCAATCAATGCATCTCACTATATTTTGCATGGTGCACAGTGGCGTAACCAAGGATCTTGCAGGGGAGGTGCACAGGCAGTGATTTGCAGAAACCAAAAAAAAACCTTACCAAATTAAACGCACAACCAAAAAATAACAATAATAAAAAATAAAAAAAGGAAAAAAGGNAGAACCAATAAAAAATATATATAATAAGGGAAACAAAGAAAGTCAAACCACAACCAAAAAAAGAAAAAAAAAGCTACAATATACAGATGGAAAGTGGTCTTCATTTACTCGAAAAACATTTACATGCAATTTTAAAGCAAAAGGAGATAGATGAGCGGACCTTAAGCTTTTATGGGGGGGGGGGGGGGGGGGGGGGGGGGGGGGGGGGGGGGGGGGGGGGGGGGGGGGGTGGCACGTGCACTCTGTGCTCCCCCTTGGTTACAGCCCTGAAGCAATTCTTTTCGTCTGAATGCAAGGTCATTTTAATAGGCATGCAAGCATTCTATAGCAGGTGCACATTTTTATACATTTATTGTCCATTTGCAATATAAGATATACTAGGCTTTTTGAACCGTTATATTGGATGTCATGAGAATGTGTTCTGCTGATTCAATAACATCAGCAGCAGCAGTAACAACAGTACCTCATCAAAGTTGGTCACAGTGTCCATAGGAATTTTCTCTTCTCCTTCAATTGTGTGCCTCATTGTTTTCTCTACATTATCAATCAGTCTCTGGAATGCTTCAGGAACCTTGGCAATGAAGAAAGAGAAATTACAGTAAAAGGACATAAGGACATTCCCTGGGGGTGTTCTGCTGGGATTCTGAAAGAGGTACCTTGTTTATGACAAAAAACTCAAAATTGTAGACCCTGTTTATGACAAAAGTTATAATTTATTGCACTGAGTTCCTGTTTCAATTATCATGATTGTCAGCTTGCGTATTGTTTTTTTTTTTTTTTTTTTGACGACCATAATAACCAGTTTTGGTCAATGTGAAAGTAGAAACCCTGAATACGACAGGAAACTCAGGATTAGAACTTGGAACTTGAGTAAAATTGCATACCCTGCTAATGACAAGAAGCTCAAAAAACCATACCCTGTTCAGCGGATCATCCCGGTATAGTCCATATATGGGAGTACCCCCCCCCACCCCCCTGGAGGACAACATATCCCAATAAAATAATAGAATCCCTGATTCAAGAAGGTTAATTTAAATGAAATGCTAAATCTGTACTTACTAATCTGAATCTACAGGGAATATCACTTCTGAATACACCAGATTCAATAGCTTCAACATGTCCACCAACATAGGTCTCTGAATCCAACACATGGCCATCATCAGACAGTTTATTGAATACCTACAAGACAGAAACACCCTAAGAATATATATTTTTCAAAAAGTGCTAGGTCTTTGCTTTTGAAGAAATAGAAAACATGTGCGCATGCTGTGTGCAGTTATAAAACACGAGGGGTAGGCAGAACACAAGAGAAGTATTAGGAGAAGCATGACGTGTTGCGGAGTGCTTCTCAACACTTCTCGAGGTTTCTGCCAATCTCCAAGTGCTTTATTACTCAACACAGCCAACAAGCAAGTTTTTTATTTCTTTCATAAAATGCAAAGGGCGCATGCATGCTGTGTGCTCTCATAAAGCATGCGCTCCCAACCAATCAGAATGCGAAATTTATAACAGTTATTTTATAATATTAATTTCAAAGCTCTTTTTTCTGGAATTGAAAGAGAATATAACTGTAATAGGCCATTATGGCATATGCGATAAGATAAGTAACTTATGGGTTATCAGTAACAAGAGATCTCTTACTAGTCTAAATTGTAGCCCAAGTGTTTTGTGGCTTCCAAGAAATATTTACCATGGCAAGAATTCATGGAATTTTTAAATTAGTGTACAAAGCAAAAGACCTTACCTGCTCTTGTTTGTTTGGGAAGATAATATTGACATGGAATGCCTGTACCATTAGTAGTGCCTCACACAGAGTACCAGAACCTTTTCTCAGCACCTGAAAATAAAGACTAAGTAAGACAGGACTTCATACATATTAACACAGACTCTGAGTAGTCTTTTATCTTCCCTGCAGTGTCTTACTTTTTGGTGTTTGTTTTGACTGAGTTAGCCAACCAAGAATTAGTAGCTACTCTATTCTGATATCCTGGGGGGAGTGAGGGGAGTGAGGGGAGGGAGGTTAGGAACTAAGGGGAGTTTTTTGGTGTTTCAGTAACGAAAAGAAGCTGGCAAAGATCTTAGAATCAGAAATACAACTATATAAATTATCTAATACATCCCTGCAAGGARTAACATTTACCATTAGATCTGTTTTGTAACCCAAAATTCTTGATCCACCTTACATTAATTTCTACACAATATTCTAATCACCTCAAAAATAAAAAAATTTAAAAAAAACTTTATTTAAGTGTCTGGTTGTTCTAGCACCTTCGCACTATTTGGCAACACTTTTCCACTTAGACACATCACCTCTACATTCAATATTTTATGCACATAATGCAAAACTCTCAGGTTGAATTTTTATGGACAGAAGAAACCTGAGAACCCGGAGAAAACCCTCACAGCATGGGAAAGAACAATACATCAAAGAAACTCAATTCACATTTGATATCTGCAGGGCTTGAACAGGTGACCTGAACCTTGACATGTAGGATGACCTGTAGTGGTGTACACCACTCATGCTACCCATTAAATAAAGAAACTACTGCTATTATATACCAACCTCATCAGGTTCCAGTGGGATGATAGTACAAAGAGCAAAGATGAACGGATGGACATATTTCATGTACAAGTAATATGTAGCCACAGCATCAGACACAGAGTAGTTGGCAAGCTCCTGCAAACAGAGAAGAAAGATGATTAAATCAGTATTCAAAATTATAAACAAACGCAGACTGGTTAGGTAAAGGAGAATTTAGGTCTTAGGACAATATCTTGCCAGAATTGGAACTTTTTCCAGTAACTTTGGTTATGTGGTACAGTATGACCAGAAGATAAAACTAATTTGGCTGGTGATCATGACCAGTGACTGACAAGCCACTATTTTAAGCCCTAGAATTTATCAAGTGGATATATGTACAGTAGTGTCTTACTCATTTTATGGTAAGTTGGTTCATAAGTTTTAATTGTCTATACTGGTAATTATCATACTGGGGAATGCATCAGGTAATTATGTACTTTATGATCAACCAATACGTGTCCCCTGACAATCAGTTGGCCAATGATCAGCTGACACTTGTCCAGCTCTTGCCCGACACATCACCAACACTTACTCTAGTATTTGTGAATCAAAAACTCTTAATCTGGTGATTGGCTAAGACATGCATTTTAATCTTTTGTATGCTATTAGTAATTGCAACCAGTTGGCTGTCAGCTGGTCATAAAGTACAATAATTTCAATGTCATACATACCTGAGGCTGTTCACTTGCCATACGACACATCTCTTCAGGATCTAGCTCAATAGGATCATACCTTAGCTTAGCCTAGAACAATAATAGTAATCAAAAGTAACCAGGGATGGTGTATGGATTTTTCAACCTGAGTTGCGGGACCCACTGTCTACACAAAATGGTGCCCCTGGAAGCATTTTTTTAATAGAGTTGTTCTGTCTCAATGCAATACATGCATCTGCTAGAGAGACTACTGGTCATTTCAACTTTCAAGTTGTTTTGCATATTCAAACCAATTCAACGGTTGATTCACACAAGTTTTAAGTCAATATGACTGTACAACAAGCAAACTTATTTTTCTGAACTTGCTATATTTCATATCTTTAATTCAAACTTGGCACTTTTGAGGAATTTCCGTCACTTTTAAAGCTGCTCAATGTCATAATTTAGGAAGCAGTATGCACGTGTATGCAATGTAATGATTGATGGTTTGATTAATAATGAATAGTGTGTTGGTGATACCTTTGTTGTTGCTTTTAGGTTCTGGCTTCCAACTGGGAGATAACTGTCTCTTTTCACCCACCTTAAAGAATTAAAAAATGGGGGGGAAAAGGAAAGAATAAAAAGAGAGAAAAATTAAATTAAATTTCTAAATGGCATAATATGGTAATATGTTTGAAAACAAGCACATCAGTAATTGATGATGTTCCTGGGTATTCCAGTAGATTTACCTAAATGCATCCATGTGTATTGCAGGCCTTGATTTATACTCTCCTTGAGAGTCCGCACTAAATCCAATCTCATCCAGCATGTTTATGCCATGATGGGCTGCGCGAGCCTCTACAAAAGGCCTAACAAATAGAACAAATTWAAAAAACATGCAAGTTCAAAACCATTGTCAATAATTAGACAGGTAATTATGGTGCACAATTAAGAAATCTTTGTCCTTAAATTAACCACTTGACAGCTTCTACATTACTGGTCAAAAAAAAACTATGAGAAAATTACACTCACCAATCAAAGGAATCTCCATTGTATGTGACAAAGATATTTGGCTTTACTTCAAGTATGTGTTCAAAAAATCTTTGTATCAATGAAGCCTGTGAAACAGAGAAGACATATGTTATAATCAATCATGTGCATGAACCTTACTCCTCACAAAAATATATTGGTAATTTTCAAAAACGATTGTCATTGTACACATAATTGTCAAAATTGCTTTGTGCATGAAGACAGTAATTATCAATATTATCCTCTCCATCCATGCATCTGGGCCCATTCATCTTTCCCTCCGGACACAGTCCATATTATAAATTTGTCCTTCCATCCATTCAATCCCTCCCTTCTTTTATCTCTCTTACTCCCCTTTTTCCATCAATTCTACTCTCCTAAGCATAGGTCAGCTTAGTCCATCTATCCATCCATCCATTTCCAATTCAATCATAGGAGAATTATAAGTGATACATGTATAATAATGACATAACTGCAGCAAACTGACCTCATCAGGCTCATTGAGGACTGTGAACTGCCCTTCATACTCAGGCTTAGGTGTGTATTCAAAATCCTCAATATCTTCTGAAACTATCTCACGATTGATTATCAGGTAACCCTAGAAAAATATACAAATAACATAATATAACAGTACCATCACTAGCTCCAAAGTAAAATTATGAGTAGACAAAAACAGGTATAGCCTTTCCCGAATTCGCTAGACTGATCACGAAACAATGGTCTGAAGTCGAGGTTGAGCTTGATGAATATAAGAATTCAGTTCAGTCTCAACTTCAAATTATTGTTTTGTTTCATTCAAGCGAATTCGGGATAGGTCTATTGACACCTTGCAATTAAAAAAGAAGCAAATCAACTATCCATAGCCAGTTAGCAGGTAACTGCACTATCCTCTTGAGAAAAAAGACACTACTAAAAGTACTATTATGTACGATAAAGAAGAAACCACAGAATCCTGATCAGCAAGGTGGTTTGTCAGTAGGATGATAGTTATCAAGTAACAAACTAATGGCAATGAAGTGGTGTGTAATCAATAACCAATTAACCCTTCCAAAATTATCTTCCATGCAAGGCTATTACAGGGCTTAAAATAACGACAACAACATTAGTTTTAGCTCAGTCATACTTCGTTTATGGCTCAAYGTTACTGGTCAAAATGACCAGCCCTGTATTAGGAAAGAGGGAGATGGCACCAGTTCCGACAGTAAATGTGTGATTTCATTTTCCAGTGTTTTTCCATACCAACCTGTGCATCAATCATGTATGATATCATCATTATAGAGTCTGTAGCTGAATCAGGAAATTTCAAGGGAAGCTTGGTTGTTTCAATATCAAATGCCAATACAACAGGATCCTAAATAAACAATCAATGATTTACAAAAAATAATTAGTGTTACTTACAGTATGCAGTACAGAGTGTGAGCCACTCAATAGAGAAAATGTAAAGAACCAGTAACACCAGAAGAAACTTCTGATATACAGCTATTTCAATAAAAAAGGGGGAAGAAAAAAAAAAGGCAAATATTTTGTTGCATGTTACATATCAAGCCATTAATTAAAATGCACTAATGCACTACAAGTGAATGCAACATCAACGAGAGGCCTGACAACAATGTTAGCTGTTAACAAAATACACAATTACTCTTATGCTTAGGGGAACTTTTGGTCAGTGAGAAATATTCCATATGGAGATACCGGATGTGTGACACTGAAATGGCTTCCCATTGTATTCTTTAGCTACATTAATTTACAAGGTTTATGCTGATAGCTACAATAAAAGGAAATATGGTATGGCTATGAAAATGACTAGGACTTTGTCTTGTTGTTTCCTTTTCACGCAAAAAGTGCTCTAATCAAGATTATCAAGTGCAGTGTACTTACAGGTCTGTCCAGTAGGTCATCTCTTCGGTTCAGCTCTGGGAACATACCACCTCGTACCTTCACATTGTACCAGTGACCCTGAATGGTAAATGACAACAAATGTGCATCATTTCAAGGTCAGTATGCTCACCTTTTACCTCTGGTGTCACAAGAAAACTGATCATCACATTGTACTGTAGTGTGGATAGAGTTGTAGGACTGTTCATTAATGTTCCTTCCCCTTTAAAACCCATCATAGCCACAGCATAATACACACTCTGATTGGTTAATTAGCGTGTTCAAGCGTGCATCAAAAATTGGACTACAGTTATCAATGAATAATTGTTTATTTTGCTGAATTGCAATTCAATATACACATATTAACTGAGGTAAGCATGCCTTGACTTATTACAGATCATCCCTGGAAACAACTAATCGTTTGTCATGCCTTGGAGTTTATTGTGCCAGCTACACCATACAATGCATTTTTATTGTATCTGAATATATAATTAAAAGGGAAGATATATAATAATTATTATGTGATTAAATGTGCACTTACTACATGGATCTTCAGGTCAATAGCTACACGCACGTGGTATGGGACATCAAACTCTCTTTAAGAGAAACAAAATAAACAATGGGTCAACCAAAATATYATCATTGAGAACCATTACATCACAAACACAACACAAGTAAGTCGTCTGGGTTTTTCAATGCCATCATTCAAAAAAATATTAACATATGATGGACATTGCATAATTCCAGGGGGGTAGGCAAGGGGGAGGGGGGCAAGTTGCCATGATCCCCACCCACTTTGTGGCAACAAAATAGCAGCTTTTTAGAATTTATATGATGATTCTAAATTTACTTTCTTAACTTTTGAGAGAGAAAAACAAACATCCCAATGCTTGTTTTTTCCCTTTTTCCCTTCAGGGCTCAAACAAAATGGCAGATTTTTGAATTTGGGTCTCCCTTTTGGAAAATCCTTACTATGCCTCTGTACATAGGGTTTTAATACAAGAATGGGTATGACATTATCTGACACACCTTAATACACTTTTAAATGGTCAATTACAGTCACAGCAGATAGTTGATTGAGCTTAACTACAGTAGCAGCTAGTATGCAGCACTGTGAATGTGTTTTATATTTTTTAATCGTAGTCACCTTATATCTATGATATTTTCTTTCTGGTCGGCTATCTTCTTGTTAGTTTCCATGTCAATATCACTAAGTGCTGACATAACATTGTAGGTAGCATTGGCCTTCTCTTGCTCTTTATTCTTGCGCACTGCAGGCATGATTTCACTGAATATTAAATAGAACATTATCAACAAACATATACAACTAGAGTGGTACCCATAAAAAGTTCATGACCACTTGTTCAAGAAAACATTTATTTTGATCACCATCTTAATATTGGTCTCCCTGTGGTGGTTTTGGCTGAAAACATGCACATGATGGCATCCTGAGCCAAAATAAATGTGAAATTTTTCTCAAAATTCCAAAAGCGAATATTTTTAGATATTAAAACCAAATTGCGCACTTTTTCACCAGTAATGTAAAGAAATTGCTTGGTATTTCTAGCTAATGACCATATTTTCCGTGATTGTTGACAGTGGCAACAACAATGACAATGACAATAGTTTTATTTGCACCTACATTGCTACAATATTTTGAAAGTTAAGGGTTAACCAATAATTAATAGATAATTAGCTTATAAATATATAATTATAAAGGTCGAAAAAGTACAGAATTACATTAAGTAAATTAAATTATCATTCAATATTTAAAAAATTCTATATCTATGCATTAATATAATTCATGTATATATTTACAAATATATTTAAGGTATATTAACAAAGACCTCTCTCTTATGCTATTATACATATGTAAATAGGATGGTGAATGACAACTTTATTTAGGGAAGCTTGAGAAAATCCACTTACCGTTTCACTTTCATGAGGTCATTTACATTGTGAAAAGAAAGCTTGATGTAGTTTCTTTTGAGTCCTACCAGGTGGTTGGCCTGTTGGAACAAACAGTAATTATTGGGTCAAATTAAAGGTTTTGTTGAAAATCAAATAAATTTTAGCTTGTATTTCTTTCACTTACCAAATCAAGGTCTTCTTTCTGAACATTTTCTATTTTTGCAATTGTTCCTCCATATTTTCTATTAAGGTATGTTGCTACTTCTCTGTCAGTGTCCTTTAAGACAATTTAAGTATTTTAACATTTTTACCAACTTTTCCAAACAAGATTGATTTACTTAATACCTTTAACCATGCACTAGCTATTTTATTGTAATGTTTACTTTGCAACAACATAGGCACACCTAAAAACAAGTATGTTTCTACTTAAAAATGAGCAAGGTTTATTGTAACAGGGTTCGTGCTGAGGTAGCCACTTATAATTCAAGGACTATTCAAGGAGTATACAAGGATCCAAAAAATGAATTTTCAAGGAGTATGTTCAGCTAACTATGCCAAGGTTTTACATGGTGGTTACACATGGCAGACTTTCAGATCTTTCTGACTAGATCTATTTCAGAACCATGCAAGTTATGATCGATCGAAGCAAAAATTCAAGGAGTTTTTAAGGCGTTTAAGGAGTAGCACGAACCCTGTTGTAAGTAAATTTTTAGTAAGTCTTTTGTGTTTTTTGCTAAGTTTCACACAATGATTAATTTTCATCCTATAAGCACATGCACTTAACGACTTTGTTAAAATACTTGGATTGGCAGCCATCAAAATATATTTACTCCCAATGCCACTCATGTTTGAAAACCAGCATTATGAATTTTGTCAATGTGACCTTTAATACATACAATCATGAAATATTAAAACAAAATTAACAGCAAGTGGTAATAATCAAAAAGAACAAAAACTTGTACAATTTACCTTCTTAGCAAGTATGTAGAAATAAGGCTTAAAAGGTAAGGCAATCTGGAAAGAAAAATTAAAACTTAGCATATAATGTATAGTGTTACATCAGAGGAGGATTCACTAGTATCCTAAGTGCCTTTGCAAGCTTATTATTGTTTTCTTTGGCTTTAACCTGTTTATGTGAAACTTTTCGTACTGATCCTTCTACCTAATATTCTAACATTACTAAATAAGGTGTTGCTTTAGAGCATGACTAATTTGGCAAATAAATGTAGTCAGTTATAGGATCTCTACTGAAACTGAAATTACTCAAAAAGCATTACAGTATTTTGAGGAGTATTTTTAAATCTAGAAAAAAGATTCTCCGTTCTCACGACTAGCAGCCATGCAACGGATGTTGACCTGAGGGGGAGAGTACGCGAACATTTGTATCGACAGTTAATATCGGTTGCATGGCTTCTGGACGTAAGAATGGAGATTTAAAGATCCTTCATAAAAAGTGTTTTAAAATGGATAGTCTTGTATAGCTGAACAGAGGGCAATGGTGTGGATGTGTTAGGTATTAGACTATGTGAAGGAATTTTGGTGCGATGTGTAATTTTGACTGAACTATGCTTTGAAAAAGCAAAAACTTATACCTACCCTAAAGCGATCACCATCTTCTTGTATAAAGTACAAATCCACTGCACTAATCAGCTTCTTATCATCATCAAGAACTTCAGTCTGAAACAAATATATAGCTTTTCTCAACATCATTTCATCAACCCTTGAAGCAAGTATTGTGTTTTAGGGACTGGCTTTGTTAGTGGTAAATACTGACAAGCCACAAACTACAGACTCTAATGAATTACAAACAGCGAGGCCCTGTTAATGGTAAATTCCAACAATCACAGGCAAAACAAGATTTATTTTGAAATTTAAAAAACTACAACAACAAAGAGAACCAGAGAAAATTCTTTCATTCAACGAAGTCACACAATATGAAACTCCACTCACAAGAAAATACCAATCTACATGTAGGAACCAAATCCAATTATTGGGTTACAACCAAATGACTTAAATCAATGAAACAACAGCCATGTTGGTTGATCTACCAAAAAAAATCTAATGAAGAATGCTTTATTATCAACATGGCAGCTATGACGTAACTTGCATCCCAAGAATACTCTAATTTTGAGTTCTCTTTGCTCAGCCTTAGTCTCGGTTGTACGTTATAATATTCAGCTATTCAAACAAAACCTGTAGTATTTTAAAGACCCATTGCCACTTAYCGTGATGCACYGCGGTCACAGATGAATTTCGTGGTCCATGAAATTCAAAGATTCATATATCGAATAATAACGTCATATTAATTCCTTTTCCGGCATAGCACTAAGGCACAATAATTATTCCTTTACATTATTTTACAGCTTTAGGGACTATTTAAGAGTTCATTCAAAATGTTGGAATTATTTTTTCAGTGGTGACACGATTCAAAATGTAAACAAATTGTGATGCATCACGGTAAGTGGCAATGGGTCTTTAATCAACTTGTATTTTTCCAACATAGTTCGTACATTCCTTACTACACAATGTACATTAATAAAAGAAAAGAACACATTTGTACATAATCCAGGCTAAGACTGAGCAGAGGTGAACTCGAAATGGGAGTATACCCCATAGGTGATGATTGAGTGAACACCAAAACCAACCTTGATTCCAACAAAATTAATAAATACAGTACTTGCATTGAACAAGATTGTTAAGACTTACAGGATGCATGTTGATGAGCCAGCCAAGTCGTTCACTTGACTCTTTATGTTTTTCAAAGCCATACTTGATGTCCATCGCTTCTTGAGTCTGGATCCTGACCATTCTAGACTCTGCTGATTGACTTTCATCATATCTAGTGTGATATAGATAAAGAAGGTTTCGTAACGACAATTCACTTCACAGATCGTTTTTTAATGCAACTGCTTCGATGTTTATGGAAAACCTGATGCTCATTTGAAAAAAACTAAATAAAATTTGGGCAATAAAATGCTTTAAAATAAAATGAAAGTGCTAAATTGTATGATGATGGTTTTGCTTTAGAAGATACAGTAGTAAACGTATTCACAAATTAAACATGCGAATCTCTATGGATTTAAGAATTACATTTGTATAGTAGACAACAGTCGCTTTTAGGGCCCGAGGTTCACCACACAAAATCTAACCCCAATAGCCATTTGTGTGAATCCTAACATTGAACCTGAGGACTCATACCGTGATTTCAGCTGTGGAAAGTACAAAAACAAAGTACAAAAACAAAGTTAGGTAGAAGTGGATTCTTACTTGGAGTAGTTTTTCTTCGATCCTTGATCTTTGCTCGTACTGCCATCTTCTCCTTTTCTCTTCCCAGTATTCAACAAAACCATGGCTAATGAACCAGTACACGAACTTCTTATCTTCTAACAGCGATCAGTTTACCATCACCACGAGAATTAGGTTTTTAGTAATAATTCAAATGAATATTTTGCTTGARAGACTCTTCGATCGAAATGTATTTTTATTTTTGGCGGGAAAATACTTGCGCACGCTTTTATTTTGAATATCTCCGCTGGCCAACACAGGGACCCCAAAAAAATAACCGAAACTTTGCAACACAGGATACCCACACATTTTTATTTTATTAAATATTACCATTTCTTGTAACGGCTCTGTATCTAAAATATTATTACAAAAGAATAAAACTCATGCATGTCCTTTTCGTAGGAAGGGGGAGGGCTGGGGATTTGCATTTAACTATTTAAAATTGGTTGTAACCCCCTTAATTTCGAGACCCTCCAACAACGTATTTTATTTGCTCCATGAATTGACATTGGAGTTTATAACCAATAAAATATAATATTTTATTGGAATTTTGCGGCAAATGGTCAAAGCAGATGTCCCTCCCCTTTGAAGCCTCCACCACACACCACACACCGCCCCCCTCCCCCACCCCCCAATAAAAAAGGTACCTGCCCTGAGTAAGCCCGTGGCATGACTGATGAACACTAAGGAAGCTAAGGAAATTCCGAATAGTACAATTAGTTTGTCTACCTTCCAAAGATTATCGTGACATCCATCCTTTTTGTCGGGGGGGGGGGGGGGGGGGGGGTTTAAAAAATAAGAGGGGAACACATGAAATAACTTTACAATAAACGGAATGAAAGACTAGGAGGGGGCATTTTATAAGCAACAACAGAGAGATGGGGTTACTAAGCTAATCAAACCATCTACAAAGCCTGTTTAAAATGACATCTGATATTCATAGCTACAATTTGAGAGGAAGCGAGTTTGATTTTCAGCTTCCAATGCCAAAAACCAATATTATGAAAAAACGCTCCTTCTCCCTACCGTGGTTCTATTGCCTGGAATGAGTTGCCCAACGAAATGCGAGAGCTCGATAAATTGGAATCCTTCAAAAGAGCTCTGCAGCGAAAAACACTATGCAATAGCACCCTTAAATAATTAGTTCTATAAATGAACATGTTTTTTACATGTAATTAGGATACATTATTAGCATAGGTAGATAGATAGGTAGGTAGACATTAGTATAGGTAGATAGCATATATAATTATATATTGTTATATATAGAGAGAGAGAATATTACATGGGTGCGCGGAGATACGAATTTTATCTTCGAGTGTTCAACTGATATCTCACGAGTGAACGCAGCGAACGAGTGAGATATCTAAATTGAACACGAGAAGATAAAATTCGTATCTCCAAGCGGCCATGTAATGTTCTGTTTATTATTATTATAGATATCGATGAAACTTAAATAAAACAAAAGCTCAAAAATTCTTTATTAAAATACGTTACTATGTCAACAGCGATATCTTCACGTGTGAAAGATATGGTATCTTCCACTGGTGAAAGATATCAAGTTTTCGACACTAGAGAAAACCTGGTATTTCATCGATATCTACATGATATAATAAAAATTGGTAGTTTTATATTCTTTATTTGTATTTGCTGCTTTATGAATTTTAGCACGGCACGCCTGAAAAGCAGTGTTACTGAGTCGTTTACCGTAGATAAAAATTTATTAATTTAAATTTAAATTAATTAATTCAATTAATTCATACATTCATTCAATCCGAGCGCATATCC